GGATTTGTGGTGGGGGGGGGGGCAGTGTGTAAACAGAAGCCTCCACTTGACAGTCTCTGCTGCTTGGAGAAGGGAGACGTGTCGGTATTTGTGTGTGTGCGAGAGAGAAATTCTGTTTGTCGTCTGACATGTGTGTGTAAGGGCTTACGTACTAGTTTTGTTTCAAAAGGCTGAAATGTTGTGACCTGTAAGCCAGAAGTTGGGTTCGGTGGGCCTTTGACTCAACACGCTTAGGACCGAGTTGCAAATATCTGGAACTTTTCCGTCTCGTGACTTTGGAAAGAGACGGGTGGTGTGGGAATGCGCCGGAGGAGGAACTTTGCTGGAGTTTTTTTTTTTTGGCCAATAATAATAATTTGTTAGCATTGGAGGGAGCGGGAAGAATATTTCACCTCCTCTGGTTTTAACTGAAGATCTCTTTTATAGGGGCTTTTATCCCGACCTTCCGCATTCAGTGAGACTTACTCCCAAGTAAACGCGCCCAGAATTGGCGCCCCAGGCACATCTTTGCCCCTTCCCGGTCTTTCTTCCCCGCCTTTCAGTTCCTCTCGGGTCCATTTCAATTCGGGGAGGGGAGAAAGAGAATCTGAGGGCAAAATGTCCCGGTTGACTTTTTGATGTCCGCGTGCTGCAGGGAGCCCCGCTGGGTCGTTGCCGGGTGGGAGGGAAGAGGGGGCGGAAGAAGGCTGTTTAGTGGGGTTTTTTTGGCGCCACTTTTGTTTTAGGCACTAGCTTGTCCCCCACCCCCTTTCTCGGCACTCGCAGCAGTTCAGCCGATCCTTGCCCAGGTAGGAAGTGGTCCCTCTGTAGCGGTCGCATTTTGGCCCCGCTTCACCCACCCTCCATCAGTGACCTCGTTCAGTGTGTGCGTGGGGTGTGTGTGTGTGAGTGAAAATGATGAGGTCACACGGCCTGCGATGGGAAGCCCGGCTGTTTTCCGAGCTGCAGGCGCGCTTCTTTGTGGTTACGCCGATGATTGGGGTTTCCTACATAGGGTTAGATTGTTAGCAGAGTGGCTGGGGGGGGGCACATCTTGAAGCGTCGTACGCTGTTGCTAAACAGCCCTTTTCAGTGACTTAAGGGGTGACTTCTTACGACCGGGTGCATATCGTATCTATTATATCCCATTTTTAATCCTGGCGGGGAGGGGGGCGGCAATAACTCCCTGGCGGGCATTACAAGAAATCTTGGGTGCCCCGACCGTTTGTCCTTTAGGTTTTCCTCAGCGCGGCCGTAGTCCTTATTCGGTAGTTCCCTTCTGTCGGGGAGGAGGTGCGTTTGATTGCCACACCCCATACTTGTTTCTAGGCGAAGCCTTGCTGGGGCCCCTCCTCCTCCCCCCCCCGCCCCTCGATGTCGGCTCCTTTCCCCTTTGAGGCGCCCGAGGTGACCTGCCGAGCCAAATTCTCTGTTGTTGTCGGCGCTCCTGTAGAAGAAAGGAGGGGTTTTGTTAGCACCATGGTTGTGGGTGGGAGCGGGCGGGGAGTCAAGTTACCGAAGTGCGTCACACGCCGTTCTGATGGGGCCTACTCGACAGCCTCTTGTGTGTGTTTCCATCTTCACAGAAATCACCCGCCCTCTCCTTTTTGCTTTCTCGGATTGGTCAGCCACGCTAGCAGAAGCCTCTAGCTTCCTTCTCCCAGGCAAGAACACAGCGGGCTTAAGTGCACTTGAGGAAGGGGACTGGGCTTTGAAAACATGTGCGGATGGGCCTTGAACATAGAAGTGTCTCTGGCTGCAAAACGACTGGGGTTTGCCCTCAGTGTGGTGCAATTTCATATACTTTCTCCCAGAATGAGCCTTGTTAAAGAACTAGCTCTGATTGTCCAGCCAGCTCAGCCAAGCACTGCTTCCAAAGGTAGAAAGTGCTTTTAAATAAGATATTCGTTTGCTTTTGTGTAATTGTTGGATATTTGGAGACTCTGGTTTGAAATTGAGACTTGGGTGTTTCTATGATGAAAAAAGTTGGTGTCTCTGAATCTTTCCGGTTCAACTCAGTATCCTGCTACCATAAGGGAGGAAAGATACTGATCTATTTCTTGAGTAATAGTGCTCGGGAAACTAGGTAGTGGAGGAGCCTTTACTGAAAACGTGTCTATTTGTTCATTTATACCCTGCCTTTCTCACAGAGGCTCAAGGGCTAGTTAAATAGACATCTACTTTTCACCGTTAGACCCAAACTGAAATATGAAAACTATGGCAATTGTATGTTATGTATGACTCCTCCCTCATTTAAGTTTTGTAGTCTTTCTGCCCCCTTATTTTAAATAAGCAAATAAAGTACTCCGAAACAAGCAAAATTTTGGTAGTACTTTTTGTTGTCACCCACCATAAGGTGGGATGGTTTCCTATTTGTGGGTCAAAACCTTTCTGTTGAAGATAATGTCCTAGAGCTTTGAACAAAGTTAAGGTTTATATTTTGTAACAGTGTGTCTAATCTGTGGTGTCAAGCATGTTTGTGACAAAGTGTTAAAGTTATTAGCAATTCTTGTGATTCTGCCATCTGTGAAAGCATGCAGTGATTATTTTGTTTATGTTTGTGCAGCAAACAAGAAATTAAATTGTTGATGATGCAAGTGACATTTCTCCATTTATAGAGCCTTAGATTCCTGGCAAAGTGTTTGCATAAGAATCATCAGTACAGTGGTATGCCACTGAAATAGCTTCTCTGTGGGTAATGTGATGCTCCTTCAGACTTCTGATTTGCAGATCTAGATATCCAAAATTCAAACCCACAAAATGTTTTTGAGCACCATAGAAGTAGAATAAATGTTGTGACATTCATTCCAATGCAGAGGGGAGGATGCACAAGAGCCCTAAGCGTACAAAAACCATTTAGGAATCATCCATGTTGTACTGGGAGTCAGTGATTTTAAAGTTATGTTTCTAGTTTAGTGCAGGTTTTGCAAAAAACATTGTCTAAATGGTCAGTTCTAGCTGAGGAACACTGGTGGAAGTTTAATTAAACTGTTGTCTGATTACTTTATTTCAGTTGTTGCTCTTTAAAACTGTTTTTACCCATTTTGTGATATATATGGTAACTTTGATGAAAGATATGGTTGATATACCCAGTCGAAGTCAAAAGTCAAAGTCAAAAAGTCAAAATATACTCAGTCTATGCAGGTTAACTGGCAGGAAAGTTAATCATTGGAAGACTGCATGCTAATTACATTTTAACAAGTTGTGGGTGGAGGGGTTCCATCAAGTAAGAGAAGGATCAGTAACTTTCCAACTGGTAGTGTATTTACTTGTGCTGGATGCCCCTTTCATATGATCCATTGTTTGCAAATGCATTGGTGAGAAGTTGTTGATGCTACTAACAATAATTTCTGTTAAAATACTATGGCTCCAGTTTGGTAAGGTTGTAAAAGTTTTATGCCAGGCTGTAAAGGGTTCAGTTGATTATTAGCTTGGATACGTGACTACCTGCTTTGAAAATATGGGGTTGTATTTTGCTATGAAAGAATCAAGTTCTTGTGTGTATGTGATTCTGTGTAGCGTCTTAACAACTATCTCTTTTCGCTTAGACAGTATTTGATCATTGGTGTCACTGTAGGATACCCAGAGCTTCTAAGTGTGGAAAAAATTGGACACGTTACAAAGTGTAAGATGTGCCCTTGCTTGAATATGTAGTATTGTTTTATTTGCGCAATCAGCTACAGGTGTCATGTTGCATTCTATAAGGTTTTGTTAAAACACAATTTGGAATCCAGATCTTTATTTGCCATTACTTGTTAGGTCAGTGTCTCCTATTTATTGTTTGTTGTTTTGTGAATATGTGTTAAGTGCAGCCAGTTCCCTTCCAACTTATGGTGACCCTATGAATAAATGACCTCCAGAACACCCTATGGTTAACCATCTTGCTCAGGTCTTGCAAACTTATTTGATTATGCCCTTAATATTGTTGTGAGTTTTACATAGTGCAGGCCAAATCCTCCTGTTTATTTTGCTGTGTAATTCTTCCTTATTAGGGTTGGGTCACATACCAAATTGGTAAGTGTACACCCTGCTCTTTTATCCACTTTGTTAATTAAGTCTTAAGCACAAGTAGATGCTACAGAATATCATTAATCTAGCTGCTCATTTATAGATGACTCATTCATAATTATTCTTGGAGTGTATCTGACAACCAGGTGTTACACATTTTTATAATCTTTTCAGACATTTGCTTTGTTTTCTTATGGGAATATAATGTAAAACTATTAGAACTGCTACTTGTAGCAAG